CTGTTTCAGTCTAAAAAGTACCCAGTTTATTATTTTTAAAATAAAAAAGGCCCATAAACCTCTTTGAGTATGTCCGTTAAACATGCTCTTAGGCGCCGTCCATGTCGGCTCTCTCTCTCTCCTTCTTGTTCCATTTCAGTCGTTTCGGTGTCGCTCAGTGACTACTCGTCTAACCTTCGTCGCTGCTCGAACCACGACCCCTCAATCGACCCATCCAAGACCCTCTCACCGCCAATTCAGAGTCGATTGTAATCGAAGAGGACGACCAAACCGGAGTTCCTCACTGATTCTTGCCACAACCGAGTTTTCCGTCTAGCTATCGAGAAAACCATAACCGAACTTTGCCACGTCTTTGGTATCAGGTTCTTCTCATTCCATAACTCAATTGGTTCCAATGATTGATTACTTGTTGAAAATCGTGTTGGTTTGATTCAAAATGTGGGAATTTGTGTGTGTCTAGCGCTGGAATTGGGTTACTATCGATGATGGCTGCGAGAGCAATGGGAGAAATTTCAAAAATGTCATTTTTCAAGTACCATTTTACAAAAATGCCACACTTTTGAAATCTTTACAAAAATGCTACTTTTTCAAAATTATATTTTCTTTATATTATTTATGTTTGGGTTAATTATGTTCTATTAGGGTTTAGTTTTGAGTATTTAGGGGGTTTTAGGTGTCAGAATATTTTTTAGGCTTTAGAATTTTAAGATATATGCTTTATAAATCTATAATTAGTGGCATTTTTATAAATAGACACCCGTAAGTGGTATTCTTGCAAATGTGTGCACAAAAAGTGGCATTTTTGTAATTGCCCCATTATTTTGTTGGTCACAATGAAAATCAATTTTACACTTAAAAATATATTCTAATCAATTTTATACATATATTCTAATCAATTTTATACATAAAAATATTTAAATTAGTGGCATCAAAATATGTTTGATCAAAATTTAAATTTTTACATTTATGCAGAATACATATTATTATTGTACGTTGATAGATAATAGAAATCATAATTTTTGTTATACGTGTTTAAATATTAAAATTGATTAGTCAATATATTTAATCATTTAATCTTGTGCTTGCCGCGGGAGTGAAAATCTAGTACTAGTTAATTAAGAATACAATTTGTAAAGTTAAACTTATAACAAAGAATACAATTTTTAAAAAAAAAATATTACTATATATAAGCACGGGTTGTTCCATTTACTCATATTTTGGAACTTTTAGATGTATATTATTAATATTTAAAGTTTTCAAAACATATTTTCTATTGATATTGGTTTATGAATTTTTATTCTAAGAAGATTTCTGTTTCTTTCTAAATTTTAAAATCTCTTTGTAAGCATATGTTTCATTTTTTAGTAAACTTTTCTTTTGAAAAGAAGAACACATCTCATGCAAATCTCGTTGGAATCAAGTACGAAATTACTAGCTAGTGTACTTACATATAATCACTTTTTCTGAAACATAATTTTTTTTTTTCT